CATTTTGCTTCTGTTATCTAACTGCTGGAATATTTAGAGTAAATGAATGTTGCAGGCTGTCTTTAAACTTTGCACTGGGCTTCCTTATCTGGGCTTGTACAAATATAATCTTTTCTGAGCATCCTTAGTCTACTAACACTGCAGAGACCACCAGAAAATACTGTTTATGTCAGTGTCTCATCCTATCACATTGACTCTGTAGGTAAATTATACATTTTGAAAAGGGAGAAAACTCTCTTAGCACCATTTTGTGCCTTTGAGCGTTAATTTATCAAAATTTGAGGGGTCTGAGAAAACTAATAATATTCCAATTTTTGTTATGGAGTAATTGCTCATCCTGTCATATTAACCACTGATGTATCAAAATGCCATCAAATGCAAATGTACATGGTTCTGGTAAACTGTCCTTGATAATTTTTTTAATATTATGTTTTAAAAACATTTTTATTTGGAAATAATTTGAAGCATGCAGAAAAACTACCAGAATAGTATATATGGAACTCTAATCTCTTTATTTAGATTCCTGCATTAACATTTATCCTACTTTATCATTTGCATACCCTTTGTGTGTGTGTGCATATGTGTGTCTATGTATACGTAATTTTTTCCTGAACCTTTTGAGAATAAGATATATATATGTACACACACACACACACAGATGTGTAAAACCACTCTTTACACCTAAACAGTATATTCTTTTCCATAGCAATGATACAGTATTCAACTTCAGCAAACTTCATATTGATACTGAAATCTATCCAACTTCCGTTCATACTCCAATTTTGTCAGTTGACCCATTCATGTCCTTTGTAGCCATTTGCTTTATAAGTTGAATGACAGCATGATTAAAGAGTGAGATGAAAGGAAGCCTCCTCAGATCTGGTATTTCAGCACCTACTGATGTGACTCTGGACGTGCTGGCTGAGGAAGGGGATTGGCTGGTCTGGTGGACAGAGATGTGGAGGAGCGGGAGCTGCCTTCTGGCCCAGGTTCGCAGATGGGACCCGACGGCCCCCCAGTCGGCCGCGTCTCCCCTCTCTGTGAATTGAACGAGAGTTGTGCAACCTTCTCATCTGCTGTTAGGAAGGTCATTATGAAGACTGACTCACGGAGGCCAAGGCCGTAAAAACGGAACCATATTTTCTTACCCCTCGGTTATTTCTGTCTAATGTATTTTAATGTGATATGCCTGAAAGCCAAACTCGGGGAGATTCAGAAAGCCCCTGTAAGCGGTTTTCCTGCTAACTGAGCGAGCGAGAGGTCTTAAAACAACTCCTCCTTCCCATCTGCCTTTCCTTTCCATCTGGAAGTGTGCCCCATGCCTCCCACGGGGAAGCAGGTCCAGAGCGTTCATTTTCAGTGAGCCATTAGCGAGCTTTAGAAGTTTCCCATCAAATTCCCCAGGCCCCTGGAACTGTTATGAGCCATTCTGATGATGAATCAAAGCTAGAGAGACTGTACTGTTGGCAGTTTTTTTTTTTTTTAAACAGAGACAGTTCCCGTGTTTGAGGGCTTCGCTGAGATTTGTGATGTCGCCCTTATTTACAGAATATTTTCTTCTCCTTCCATGTCTTTCTTCCCGCCCCCTCTGTATCCCCACCTTTCTTGGTGTTCCCGCAGTGCTTCGCTGACCACATTCTGAAAGAGCTGGATCACTTTCCTCCTGAGAAGAGACGTGAAGTGGTCATTCTTTTTTCTGCTCACTCACTGCCAATGTCTGTAAGTAAGAACATTTTGTTGGATGACCCAGTGGTTCAGTTCAGTCACTCAGTCGTGTCTGACTCTTTGCGACCCCATGAACCGCACGCAGCATGCCAGGCCTCCCTGTCCACCACCAACTCCCGGAGTTTACCCAAACCCATTTCCATTGAGTCGGTGATGCCATCCAACCATCTCATCCTCTGTCATCCCCTTCTCCTCCTGCCCCCAATCTTTCCCAGCATCAGGGTCTTTTCAAATGAGTCAGCTGACCCAGTGGTAGAGGGTTCAAAAGGTATAATGTGGATCCAGTTTCCGTTCAGCCTAAGCCCAGTAAAAGGAGGAACTCTAAAATCTCAAACTGAGCTTGGCGCTAATTTAGCTAGACTCATTTCTTGAGATCTGAAAATGAAAGTTGCTCAGTCGTGTCCAACTCTTTGCAACCCCATGGACATGTAGTCCATGGAATTCTCCAGGTCAGAATACTGGAGTGGGTAGCCTTTCCTTTCTCCAGGGGATCCTCCCAACCCAGGGATCAAACCCAGGTCTCCCACATTGCAGGTGGATTCTTAACCAGCTGAGCCACCAGGAAAGCTCTTGAAACTTAATAACAATTAATTCAGACTATGATATTGTGAGTAGATATTATCTTGCTAAGTCCCTTTAAAATGATAAGTTGAAGATATATTCCTATGTGAGAATTTTATTAACTGGCACAGTTAAAGAAGGCTGTTTCCGCCTGCTGGTAGGGCTTCAGTACTGAGACTGAGCGCTCCCGTCCCCATTCTTTTTGTCCTCAAGCCTTGACAGAAGTTGTCTGAATTCTAGGAAGTGATTCGTTTCTCATTTGCCAAGGCTCAGGAGCACATTTTGGCCAGTCAGTATAAAATGTATCCAGTTATGATCTGGTTGCTCCCTAGTTTCTCATATTACACCGGGGGTTCGTTAAAATACCACCTCTGTGCCATGACTATCGCGTTTTTGGAGACAAGAGTGGTGGAGCTGGTATGTGTGTGATGTACAGAAGCGCTTGGGGTGAGCAGCCCGTTTCATCAGCTCGCAGCCTTGTGTCCTAAAAACCTCGCTGTCAAGCTGGAGAGGCGGAGAGTTACCGCCGTAGGCGTCATGAAGCTTTTAGCTGCGGGGTTCATGAGTTAACCCAGGGCCCTCTCTGGGGCCCCCCTTCTGACCGGCCTGTGCCGCCACGTGGCGGTCCGGGGCGAGCCCTTCGCAGCCTGCGTCTCCCTCTCGCCCGGGGCACGGCCGTCCTCCTGCTCGGCCCTCATCCCTCCTGCGTACCCGCCCGTGTGTGATGAGGCCGCGTGGGAAGGGCCAGAGCGGAGCCGGGAGAGGAGGCGACGCGTGTTCACGCGCGGACGGTGCCAGGTGCTGTCTTCCCTCCTCTCTTCTCTCCCCTCACTGCCCCTTCTCCCGCTCAGGGCCTGAGCACGCGGCTTCCAGGGTTTTTGTCTGGGTTTTGTTTTTGCTTTCTGCCCAGGGTCTCAGGGGGAACCGAGGCACACCATTAAGCCAGAAGGGTCGGGATGGGGTCGGGAAGGCGGAGGGATGGTCGAGCAGGAGAGCTCTCCTTGCAGGCTCCACTCTTCTGCGTTTGCTCCTAATGAGTTCCCCTTGCGTGCTGGGCGCTTCGGTTGTGTTCAGCCCTGCGACCCCACGGACTGTAGCCCACCAGGCTGCTCTGTCCGTGGGATTCTCCAGACAAGAATACTGGAGTGGGTTGCCATCTCCTCCTCCGGGGGATCTTCCCGACCCAGGGATCGAACCCCCGTCTCGTCCGTCTCCTGCACTGACAGGTGGGTTCTTTACCACCGGCACCACCTGGAAAGCCCCTTTCCTCCTTAATAACTTTTAAAACTATACATGTTATGTACGTTGAAGTCATTTTAGACTTAGGGAAAAGTTACAGAAATAGTACAGAGCTCGCTTAGCTTCTGCTAATGCTGACATCCCACATAACCGGAAGTCCCGCGATCAGATGCGGCCTGAGCGGAGGCGCAGTGCTGTTCCCGGAGGACGTGACTCCCCTTTCACCAGCTCTTCCTCGGGTGTGGCTTTCCCCTCCCAGAATCTCACAGGGCACGCACTTGGACAGCTCCTTAGGCTCCTCCAGTCTGGGACAGTTCCTCATACTGTCTTTGTCTTTCCTGAACTTGATATTTTTGAAGCACGATTTTGTAGCAACCCTGGTGGCCCAGACAGGTGAAGACTCTGCCTGCAATGCAGGATCGACCCGGGTTCAGTCCCTGGGTGGGGAAGATCCCCTGGAGGAGGGCATGGCAACCCACTCTGGTATTCTTGCCTGGAGAATCCCGTGGACGGAGGAGCCTGGCAGGCTACAGTCCATGAGGTCACAAAGAGTTGGACACGAGTGAGTGACTAGTGCGCACACACACACAGTTATTTTGCAGCATGCTCCTCCATTTGGATGTGTTGGGTATTTTCTCATGCTTAGACTGAAGTTGTTTATCACTAGGAAGAATAACCCCTCCTACCCTTGCCAGACCCTCGTGCTTCTGAACGCATCACGCCAATTCATCTTACTGCTCCTGATGTGATCCGTGCTCATTTGCCTAAGGTGGTGTCTTCTGGATTTGCCCATTAGAAAGTTACTATTGTCTCTTTGTGATTAAAAGTATCTTAAGTGAGCTTCTTAGAGATTGTGCAAATATCTTGTTTTTCAGACTTTTGCTCACTAATTTTTAGCCTCCAGTGGATATTTCTCTGTTGGTCTAATGATGACTTTGTATTTCTCTCATTCCTTCTGCCTTTATGTTTCGAATGGCAAACTCACTTTTAGCCATATCATCAAATAGCTCATCATTTCATCTCAACAGTGTTTACTAAACACCTACTCTATTTCAGGCACTGTTCTAGCCCCTATTGCAAAATAGGGGAATGACAAAACAGACATAAAAAATCTTTGCCTTCAGGGAATGAGGGAGAGGAGGCAGGTAATAAGCATAATAGATAAGAAAACAGTATGAAACATCAGAAGGTAGTAAGTGTTGTAGGAAGAAAGCAAGCAGGATGGGGGGCTTAGAAAGGCGGTGCACAGCTACATGGGCTTCCCCAGGGAGCTGAATGGCAAAGAATCCGCCTGCCAATGCAGGAGACGTGGGTTCGATCCCTGGGTCTGGGAGATCCCCTGGAGAAGGAAATGGCAATCCACTCAAGTATTCTTGCCTGGGAAATCCCATGGACAGAGGAGCCTGGTGGGCTATGGTCCATGGAGTCTCAAAAGAACTAGACACGACTTAGCAACTAAAGAGCAACCATACAGCTAAATATTAAAGCAGTAAGAAGAAAATTTCTGTTGTACACTTTCATAGGTGTTCACTTTCAAAGGTGAGGAGCGCTTGCAGACATTGTCTGTGCTCAAAGCGTGGCCAGGGTCCGCTGCTGTGGGACGAGTGGGGAGAAGGAACGGGAAGGAACTCGAAGGCACAGGCCATGTTCTCAAGGAGCCTGGAATCTGAGCCACATGCTGCTGCTTCCTGTCACTCCACTCGTGTTCACCTCTTTTGTTCACCTGGGCCCCACGAACTCAGTAGTTCTAGACACTGTCCGTACAGCACTCTTTCAGCTCCATTTCTAAAATCGGGGCGTTCCCTGGGCAGTCCAGGGGTTAAGATACCGGGCTTTCACTGCCGTGGCCCAGGTTCAGTCCCTGTTCAGGGAACTGAGACCCTGCAAACTGCACAGCACAGTCAACAATTAAAATAAAGTCAGCCCGTCGGGTAACTAACCACAAGTGAAGGCCCATCTCATGTTGCCTCTTCCTTGCCAGCTTTTCTGTGTCATTGTCCCTAACTCAGCTGGGGGATTGGAGAAACCCATCCTCCAGTGGTGTATGTGGTCAGTCTCCTATGGATGACGTGGATGTAGGATCTGATGCATTCCAGGAACCCGCCAGCCGATTTGGTACCCTGTGCTCCTTTGGCCAATGAAGTCCATCCAAGTGAGTTGGGCCTTGAGCTCAGCTGGCGTGGGCATCAGTGTGGAGGCTGAGGGGCAGCCTCCAGTCCAGGGCTCAGGCCGCCTGCCCACCCAGCCCCAGGCTCTCACAACCCTGCACAGTGCTGGCGACTGAACTCCTATGTCTCTGCTGCAGGTGGTCAACAGAGGGGACCCCTATCCTCAGGAGGTGGGCGCCACTGTCCAAAGAGTCATGGACAAGCTGGGTTACTCCAACCCCTACCGACTGGTTTGGCAGTCCAAGGTAGGTGACTTCCACACATTTGCAGGCAGTCAGCGCTTCAGCAGATGTCTATTTTAGGACTTTGTTATAAAACAGTCAGATTTGGCCTTTTCATGCAGACAGAATGTTCTGCAATAACCTGACTGCTCATATGAGCAGGAGGAATTCTGCAAGCAAATATGATGGAGAGGAAAACAAGTGATGAGCAGAATTCCATTGATTCCATTCAAACAATAGATTATTTTCAGTTGAAATCACAGAAATTCTTTATATTTTGCCAGCTTCTAGAAGGCTTCAACAAGCCTAATAAAGAAATACCAAACGCATTAGTGAGATGTAAAGCATGGCCCTCACCCTTACAGGGAGGCTCTGTGTGTGTGTGTGTGTGTGTGTGCCCGCGCACGTGTGAGTGTGTCTGGTGCAGTGGGCTGTGGTAAGACACGGTCCCTGTGTGCACTCCTCCTGCTTTCTCATAGGTCGGCCCGATGCCCTGGCTGGGTCCTCAGACAGACGAGGCCATCAAAGGGCTCTGTAAGAGGGGAAGGAAGAACATCCTTTTGGTTCCGATAGCGTTTACCAGCGATCACATTGAAACTCTGTATGAGTTGGACATTGAATACTCTCAAGTTCTAGCCAATGAGGTAAGTGTGGTTATTAATCCCATTTTGATTTGATTTTTTTTTTTGAAATGTCATTTGTTTTAAAAGGTAGCTCTCTCTGCAGTGATCTACTTGTGTCATTCAGAAATATTGCTTGGTATGTGTGTTTGTATGTACTGTGGCCTCCTCGTTCCGGATAATACTTCATCTGCGTACTGATCCAAGCACATCAACTTCACTTCCACATTTGTAGGGGGAAAGCACTTACGTGCCTTTGCAAAATGGGTGACCCGGGCATCACTGCAGGCAACATCATTGCGTTTAGTTTGAGTTACTGTACCCATTGAAAGTAATAAAAACCACATTTCCTTGAGAAAAAAAATAAGTGTACTCACCAGCTTGGAAGAAAAGAATTTTATTGTTCTCTATATAATTCCTTTCTTCACCTAATAGTGCCCTTTGCTCGGGCTGTGACGCTGCTTCTGTTTGGGTTTCGAGGCACCAGGATCCTCCTCATTTAAGAAAGACCATGGGATGAACTCTGGAGCAGTTATGTATTGTAATTTCCCTGACCTCTTTTATGCACTCACTTAATTAGCTGTTTGCTACTATGCTGTGATCAATCTGATTATTGAAATAACAAATACCAACCATCCTGAGTGTCTTGTAACGAAAGATGGATGTGATTGTCATCCACATGGAGGAAAACCACTGTTGACCCATCTCAAGGCTTCTGAGGGCCGGCCTGAACCTGCGTCCCCTTCCTAGCATGGTTTCTGTGGGAACCGTGGAACCCTGGGGACCCAAAGAGACTTCCCCACTCATCCTGCATCCCAGCTCTCGGCCCTGGTCATCCCACGTGTGCTGGGTGGGGGCCTGGTCGCGAAGAATACGTCTCCCTCTCTGGGACCAGGTGGCAGGTGCAGGGCTGGGTGGAGAGTGGGTTGGGGGAGCTTCAGCAGCAACCCCACCCCCACCCTTGGCCCCGTTTTTGTCTGTGCCAGCCGGTCGTGAAGGTAGAGGGCGCTTAAGGTTCTTGTCAGCAGTTCTGATAAGGAATTTATGGGAAAGTTGTAATTGGCTAAAATGAGATTGTAGGGTTATCTATGGACTTCATTTAATGATGCTTTCTAGGAACTTTCCTTGTGGTCTAGTGATTAAAATTCCATGCTTCCACTGCATGGGGTGAGGGAGGGTTCAATCCCTGGTCAGGGAACTAAGCATGCTGTGTAGTGTGGCCAAAACAAAAACAGTGTTTGAGAACAGTGACCAACAGCAGAATAACCAGCTTACCTCTCTGTGAAGTTTCAGAATATGATCGAACTGTTGAGAACTATGTGTTTGCTGAATCTCACCCATTTAAGTTAGAAGACTGGAAATGGGAAAAGATAAAGCAACGGAAAAGCCATCAGCATTTAGAAAGGGAAAGAGAGGATCCTAGTTACCTGAGTAAATAATAGTTAGATATTTCTCAATTATTTGCGGGATAATTAGCTGGAATTAACAGGATATTTTTGGAGAGGGGAGTAAGGATGGTTGTGAAATAATCCTTAGTTTTTTAATTTAGACTTTCCTGGGTAAGAATATATTTAAAATCCCAACTCTGCATATTAGATTCAATCTAGTTTCAATACACATTAAATTAATTTACCTCTTTTGGCACTTGGAATCAAAGCATGCATAAAAAAAATTTAAGTTATTAAACCAATATTCTGCTTAGGTAGAGTCTATAAGTAGGCATTACAAAGGTAGACTAAAAAAAGAACGGTAAGCAGATTTAAATTATTTGAGTATTCTATCCGACAGTACCTCAAAAATGGTTTGGAAACAAAGCACCCATTGGAAGGTCATGGGCTGGGGGGTGGGAATAGAAATTGATGAGCAATTTGATAATAGGTGAAAATCAATGTCTATGCGTGGTCTCAGGACTATTTTTCATTTCTGGGTAGTCTGCAAATACTTTGGTACCAAGACTTTGAATTGTGTGTGTATCTGTATGTGTATTTATTTTTTTGTAGCAGTTTCTTTAAAAAAAAAAAAAGGAAAATAAAATGTGTATGTGTTTTTCCTCTCTTTTCTCATTTGATTCAGTGTGGACTTGAAAACATCAGAAGAGCGGAGTCTCTTAATGGAAACCCACTGTTCTCGAAGGTATCGCTAATGTTACAACCATTTTAGTAGAACATGTCGGAGAGCGGTCCTCTGAGAAACTCTTACAGAATATTGGTTTTCTCACATATTAGAACATTTTGAGTTCCAATTAATTAGAAAAATAAAATCGAATTCCTTATACTCTGGCTCTCTCCTCCTTCAGAGAGTCCCTGTTTTCTTATTTCTACCCACCCATCACGACGTCTAATTTACAATCTGCCTTCCAGAGACAAGGTTCGGCAGTTGGGGTGTGGGGATTTCGTTTTCTAAAACCTGTATTTTCGCCTTTTCTCTAAGCTGAGAATTCTTAGGAAAGGAAGACATTATAGAATTGGGTTCAAAGGATGCAAATCAATAATTCAGGTGAAGAGAAGCCCCACGCCCTAGCGCTCCTCTGGGCAGATGGGGCGTGGAGGCGGCGTGGGGAGCAGCGGGGTCTGTGCTTCTGACCGTCTGTCCTTCCGTCTGTCCTCAGGCCCTGGCCGACCTGGTCCACGCACACCTCCAGTCCAAGGAGCGCTGCTCCACGCAGCTGACCCTGAGCTGTCCGCTCTGCGTGAACCCCACCTGCAGGGAGACCAAGTCCTTCTTCAGCAGCCAGCAGCTGTGACCCCGGCGGCGCCGCGGGGCGGTGCGGGCGCCCGGCCGCCGGCCGCCTGCGAGGCGGAGGAGGGCGCCTCCGGCCCTTAGAGAGGAAGTGGCATCCGTGGGCGTAGCCTCAGGCCACACGCTGTGTGCTTTCTCCGGGAACGGACTCTGGAGCCCTCCTTGAGGGCTTTCAACGCACCAAGCGTTTATGGTCCCCCTCCCTGGCTTAAGTTTGGAAGGTCCACTAGGCTATTTTTTGAAATGAGTTTTAAAAATTTATCTTCTGAGATGCACACACACTCTCAGTACGGATTTTGGTTTTATAGCCCCCACCCCCCAAAGGAAACCCCGCAAGGGTGTGAGGAGCTTGCTTTGGGGGCTGTCAGTGTGCGTGTGCTGGGGATGCTTTCGTTGCTCAGCCGTGTCCGGCTCTGCGACCCACTGACTGTAGCCCCCCGCGCTCCTCCGTCCGCGGGATTCTCCGCGCGAGAACGCTGGAGTGGACGGCCAGTTCCTTCTCCAGTGTGTGTGAGGTCTGTCTAAAGCCTCGCACTTGTGTCTGAAGTGAGCATTGTTGAGTAAGTGAGATATAATTTGAGAGACGAAAGGCGCCTCCCCCTTCCCTCAGCCCGTGGATTGTAGAGTGCCGGTCCGATGGGGTGGTTCCTACAGTGACTGCTCCCGGAGGTCGCTGTTAATCGGTCCTTTTGCTCTTCGTGTGTGAACCTCACGTTCCTCACCATCAAACTGAATCAAGTGTAGGTTCCAAAAGTGCTCTTGAGTTTCCCCAGGTGCACAGGGTTGATAAGCGTGTGGTAGTTGCACATTTGTCCTCCCACCTTGGTGGGGATCCTGGTGGCGCAGGAGAGGGGGTTCCTGCTGACCGCTGTCTCCAGGGGCAGCGCAGCGGGACCTGAAGGGAAGGCCTGCCACTCACAGCTCCTCCCCAGACCTCCCCGCCCAGCATCTTCATCTTGGTTGAATGTCCCCTTTCCTGCCTTATTTGTTTGAAGAGTTTTGAAAAGTCAACTATGTTTTGTAACCTCAAATTCTTAATTTACAATTTTTATTATAAAAATTATGTAACCGTGCTATAGGAAATTTGGAAAAGAGAAACGGAAAAGAACCACTCTAATGTGACAACTATTAATCATGTTGTTATATTTCATGTTAAGTCATTTTCAGTGGATATTTAAGGTGCCATTGTACAACTTTGTTCTTCCAAAAAAGCATTTGATTTTTTTTTTAAGCCAGTGAAAGTATTCATGGAGCCATAGATCTTCTATATTCAGGGTTTACTATATTAATAAATACAATATTATTAAGATTTTAACCAGTGTGATTCATTGTCTCTGTTAAAAGTAATTCAGGGCTTTGGGGAGTCCAGGGGCTAAGACTCCATGCTCCCAACGCAGGGGGTCGGGGTTTGATCCCTGATCAGGAATCAGGCCCCACATGCCGCAACTAAAAATCCTATGTGCCACACTAAGACACCGGCACACCAAATAATAAAAATATATTGTTTTAAAAGCAATCCAAATTTGTTACTAATCAAAATTATTAAGAGGAATTTACTTTGTAATGCAAGAAACATGCCATTCACTTTCGTTAATAGTTTTCCCCCACTGATAACAAAGCTCTGAAATTTGAGTAGCATCTACATTGTTTCTTTTTCCAAATTGGCTCTCCTATTAGTAAATTGTGTTTCCAGAAGAGGGTACAAGGCATAGACAGTAGCTTAGAGTTTTCCTCCTCTGTTTCTGCCCACTTTGGGGGAACTGGGTTCGAGGTAGACTTTGAAGGACTGTCCCGCAGTGAAGTGAGTTCTGTGGGTTGGCGCTGGAAGGCTGGTCCTGCCCGCAACCCTTCTCCATCCTCCAGGAAATTCGCCTGCTCACCTCCTTATTGCTAAGGAAACCTCCAAATCAACAGTGCCTCAGCTGTCAGGAAAAGCATCCTTGACTCTTAAGTTGGGCCGGACTGGCCTTTGTAGTGAGAGGCAAAGTGAAAGTGTTAGTGCTCAGCTGTGTCTGACTCTGTGACCCCATGGGCCATATTATATAACCCACCAGGCTCCTCTGCCCATGGAATTCTCCAGGAAAGGATACTGGAGTGGGTAGCCATTCCCTACTTAAGACGCCGGCACACCAAATAATAAAAATATATTGTTTTAAAAGCAATCCAAATTTGTTACTAATCAAAATTATTAAGAGGAATTTACTTTGTAATGCAAGAAACATGCCATTCACTTTCGTTAATAGTTTTCCCCCACTGATAACAAAGCTCTGAAATTTGAGTAGCATCTACATTGTTTCTTTTTCCAAATTGGCTCTCCTATTAGTAAATTGTGTTTCCAGAAGAGGGTACAAGGCATAGACAGTAGCTTAGAGTTTTCCTCCTCTGTTTCTGCCCACTTTGGGGGAACTGGGTTCGAGGTAGACTTTGAAGGACTGTCCCGCAGTGAAGTGAGTTCTGTGGGTTGGCGCTGGAAGGCTGGTCCTGCCCGCAACCCTTCTCCATCCTCCAGGAAATTCGCCTGCTCACCTCCTTATTGCTAAGGAAACCTCCAAATCAACAGTGCCTCAGCTGTCAGGAAAAGCATCCTTGACTCTTAAGTTGGGCCGGACTGGCCTTTGTAGTGAGAGGCAAAGTGAAAGTGTTAGTGCTCAGCTGTGTCTGACTCTGTGACCCCATGGGCCATATTATATAACCCACCAGGCTCCTCTGCCCATGGAATTCTCCAGGAAAGGATACTGGAGTGGGTAGCCATTCCCTACTTCGGGGGATCTTCCTGACCCAGGGATTGAACCTGGGTCTTCTGCATTGCAGGCAGATTCTTTACTATCTGGGCCCCCAGGGAAGCAAAGAGGGCAAAGGGGGATTTAATTATGAGAATCAATGCCCATGGCATTTGTTGTTCTAAGAAGTGTTACCTTCAACTGTTACTAACTAAAGATGGGTAGGGGCCCATACCTGAAGGCAGAGTGTTTGGTAGGATGAAACCAACAGTTGCTCTTTTTAGAAGTAATGGTCTTTGGGAATTGTTACCCTAATTTGTCAACTTTGAAATACAAATGTTTGCCCTGGTAATTAGCAGTGTACTGCTGGCACTTTCTTTAAGCTGCGCTTATGTCTAGACCTGGCTTTAAGTGATGAATCACCTTATACTGCAAACTTACAGAAGTTGTGATGATGAGGCAGTTTAGCTTGCCAGGGTTATTATAAGGCTCAGAACCCTGTCTATTTAGCACAAGAGGAAGGAACTCTTCTATAGAATATGCATTCTGGAACAACTGACCTTTTTAAGATTAAAAGAAAATTTTGTACCCAAAGAAAATTTGTTTTATATCAGGAGAAATGGAACTCATTATTAAAATCCCTTTAAATTTACATCCGCGGCTAGTTTATGCTGAGTGGTAAAAACCCATGACTTTCCCTGGTAGTATCTCAGCGTACACATCCCCGGCTCAAGTAATCCCCTAAGCAGAAGGTGACATTTCTCCAGGGTTCTGTCACATTTTTCCTTTTATGGCTGAAATTATTTAGACGATGATGATTATGTAGCTATATGAGGAGTCAGTGGATTTTCAGTTCCAAATTGCCCAAACTGGCCTATCAGAAGGTACATTATATTAACAATACTAAGTTTATGTTAGGACATTTACATAGTAATAGATATTTCGTTTTCTTCTTCATTTCTTTTCGGGGAAGATACACTGAGTTGGTGGGATGAGTCTCCTAGTAAAGTCACTGCGTTTTGTTTCCCTTGGCTAATCTGTTCTCATAAATTGGGTATTTAATTCAAGCAACCCTAAGGTATGCAAGAAGAGAGGTCGTTTTCTCAACCTCATGCCACTGTGTTTATCCAAAATAAGTACTGCACCGTGAGGGTGGGTCCACACCACTGAGCAGGCACAGCAGTAGGACGGGCCCCCGTCCCAGAATGAGTACTCGTGGGTCTGTGATCCTAGGAACTCTGCTGTGTTCTCTCCTCCACTCCGGGGTTGGGGCCTGTGGGAGGGGAGGCAGGAGGGGATTACGGGGTAAGGAGCCCCCTTCTGTTAGCCAGAGGGCAGAGTTTAAAGCTGGCAGCCGTAAGAAGGAACTAACACCTGTGTGCCTGCAGGCGTGCGCCCGTGTGTAAGCCCAGAGCCCTTGCCTGCATCCTCGGTATTGCATCTCTAAGCTCTTAAATCAGCCCGCGAAACCCCTGCTGTCAGGATCCTGAAGATGGCCCACAAACATGCTTCCCAACATTGGGTGGAAATGGGAAACTCACCGAGATGTCACGAGCTGGAAAAAGAAAATTCTGAGTTCACCCTAAAATTAGTGTCCTAAATTAGGATACTGCAGTTTCTGTCTTAATAAGGGAATCCTCAGAGGAAGACAAAAGCTAACCATTTCTTTCATTATTTCTAAAAACTATAGAAATAACTTTAACTATAATTAAAGTCCTTTCATCAAGGTTGTGCCCTGGACTTTGTAGATATCATTACTAGGAATTTTGTTCTAATCGCCTAACGATTGAGATTCCATTGTAAAAATCACCATTAGTAACTTCTCCCAGCTCAGGTGGCTTTCTGCAACAATCAAATTTCTTTTTATATTAGTAGAAGTTAGCATCATAAGGTTTCAAGGATACATACATCAAATGAATTAAATCTAAACATCAGGTGGCTCAAGAAACCTGAATTCTGCTTCAATCATTGCCAGCTGAAATATTTAATTATGTCACAATGGACATGAGTTTGAGCAAACTCTGAGAGATGGGGAAGGACAGGGAAGCCTGGCATGCTGCAGTTCATGGGGTCACAGAGTCAGACACAACTTAATGACTGAACAACAACAGTGATATTGAAACTGTGTGTGCTTACTTTCTAACATTCCTGGTTAATTCAAATTGTGGCACCTGAAACTTGATTTTTTTTTTTGCTAGATTTGTTCCGGTTGGACAGTTGTGTGTTATGACTGATACCGGATCTTTGCCTTGAAAGCATGCTTCTTTTTACAATGTCTGTATGTAGGAAAGTATAAAGTGCACCAAGCTGTAAGGCGCTGAGCCGAGTGGTGGGTACTGGTGGGTACCAGTGGGTACTGGCGGGCACTCAAAGAGGAGGAAGTTGATGTCTCGATGTTCGCTGAAAGGCAGTCATGACAAGCAACAGCAGTGGGCGGGCACTCTTCATTGGAACCACGGCTCCCAGCGTGAGATGAGCCTTAGAAGGGCTCCGGGGAGTTGCTGCCTCCAGAGACCACATTCACGGTCTAGGCTCTCAGGAGAGAAGGGAGTCCGTTTGCATTTGCTGTGGGAACCTTATTAAGCCTTTCTACAGGGACGTGGAAAACAAAGGCACCCGTGATAATGTTTCTTACAATATACTCTGTTGGTACCAGCTTAGTTACTTTTTGCTGAAATCATTAGCTTCCATTTTTAGCATAACAACTCCTGGCTAAATTAGTCTACAGTAAGCCATTAGGAGCGATGTTGGAATTAAAATCATTTTTGGAAAAAAGCCTGGCTTGAACCTTGGTGATAAGCTCTCTGGCAGGAGTGGCCAGCTCCAGTTTCAGGTGGTTTGACAGCTATCGTTCTGATGTTCCGGGCACCCTCTCGGTAGCCTGCTCCCGAAAGGAAAGCATCTAGGCCACCGTTCCCCCTTCCACTCTCCCCGATGGGCCGAAGCTTTATCTTCCTGGTATTTTAAGAAATAATCATTTTACCCTGAGAATACAGGCGGTATTCCACGCTTTTACCTTTTTCCTTGTTAAAAAAATAATATATATACAGGCTTCCCAGGTGGGTCTAATGGTAAAGAACCCATTTGCAATGCAGGAGACAGATACAGGCTCCACCCCTGGGTCGGGAGGATCCCCTGGAGGAGGATTCCCTTATTAAGAATCCTCTAGGATTCTTGCCTGGAGAATCCCAGGGACAGAGGAGCCTGGTGGGCTACAGTCCCTGGGGTCACACAGAGTCAGACACGACTGAAGTGATTTAGCACCACACAGCATATATATATAAACCTTATGGGATGGGATTAACTGCACAGAGAAACAAGCAGGGGTTTGCTGGCCAACTGTTAAAACTTCAGGTTGTTACAGAGCAATCATTAAAAATGTTATATCTTGGACTTCCCTGGTGGCTCAGTGGTGAAGAATCAGGCTGCCAATGCAAGAGAGACAGGTTGGATCCCTGATCCGGGAAGATCCCACGGGCTGAGGAGCAAGTCAGCCCGTGCAGCACATGTACCGAGTCTGTGCTCTGGGGCCCAGGAGCCCCAACCGTGGAGGCCCGCGCCCTGGAGCCGGTCCCCCCAGCAAGAGAAGCCTGCT